CAGGGGTACGAGTTCAGGAAATACATACCACATTGAGTCAGAGTTCCCCTCAGCTCCACATCAGCATTCATTAACATCAAAGCTGATCTTCCATCTCAGCCCTACTTTCGTCTATAATTAGCATATTCCTCGGTTCCTTGGTGTTCAAAATTATTCTTAAACACACCGAATGACAGAGTGAACTCATGGGATCAAGAGTTCCTAAGCTAACTGACAATTGTGGTGAGTTTTGATTGCTCTCTCATCACCAGGTAACCATATGCTGGTGTTGAAGCTTACAATAACATTCACTCACCTCGGTCTTGTTTCCAAGCCACCAGAAATAGGTGAGTGGGCCAGTGGGACTGGGCCACACCACGGCTGTCAGATTCACTTGCTGGTTGGTGATTGCAACATAAGGTAAAGTCAAGTGCACATGCTCAATAGGACCTGGGGAATAGTAGGTAAGAAGACAAAATATCTTAATATTCTCTCATTTATTTTCCACCAAATTTTACAACAGCAATCAGAAGTCAATGTGATGTAGAGAACAAAAGATATCAGAGTACTTCCCTTTTTGTTGGTGTGTTTTATTTTGTGCTAATGAACCAAGAGAGGTTAATTTAAAACAATTGCAAATTCCAGGAATCCACAGAAGGTCAGCTAGCCCTGTGATGGGACTCATGTTGTGGTTGTACAGGACGTTGGTGAGACCACTTTTGGAGAACTGCATACAGTTCTGGTTGCCCTGGTATAGGAAGGATATTAAATTGGAGAAGAAAGAGGAAAGATTTGCAAGGGTCTTACCAGGACTGGAGGGTTTGAGCTGTAAGGAGAGGCTGGGTAAGGTGGGAATATTTTCACTGGAGTATAGGAGTTTGAGGGGTGACCATATAAAGGGCTTTAAATCACAAGGTGAGTAGATAAAGTGAATAGCAAAGGTCTTTTCCTCAGGATGAGGGAGTTCAAAACTAGAGGGCGTAATTTTAAGGTGAGAGGGGAAAGATTTAAAAGAGATCTGAGGGGCAAGTTTTTCACACAGAGGGTGGTTGGTTCCTGTGTGGAATGAACTGCCAGAGGAAGCGATGGATGCAGGTAGAGTTACAACATTTAAAAGACATTTGGACAGGTACAAGAACAGGAAAGGTTTAGAGGGATATGGGTCAAATGCAGGCAAATGGGATTAGTTTAGTTTGGGAATCTTGGTTAGCATGGATGAGTTGGACCAAAGGGCCTGTTTCCATGTTGTATGACTCTCTGACACTAAGTAATCAAAGTGGACTGCCTGAAAATTTAAACTTGTTCTCTTTACCAAGTTTGGCAATACTATCATGTGCTTTCAGCTTTCATTTCAGTTTTGGGCTGGTATCAAACACAGCAATGTTTAGATGGAAACTAAACACCCTCTATGCTGCAACACCTCTCTCCAAGTCTTCAGCCCCCATCTCTCCTCCAGAACAAGCAGCTTCAAGCTTAGCAGTGTGACAGATTTATTCCCCAAGCTGTCCATTCCTGTACTCTCATGTGAGAGAGATTGGGAAATTGAATGTGTTTGGAAACTGCAATTCTGATTAGTTCTCAGCAAGAGAGAAACTAGTCAGCATGGGACTGGTTAGAACAAATACCAGTACTGATGCTTTTCCAGCGCCAACCTGCACCTTCCTAGCTCCTATCCCCGCCCCATTCCCATTCCCATTCCCATCCAACTGTCTTATGGATTGAGTGGGTGGGAGGGCTAAGAGATTGAATTCTTTCTTCCCTGGCTCTGTCTATTTTCCCAATTGCCCACAGTGGGACTCCTTTACATCTTATTGGAAGCTTCATGACAACAAAGACATATTTATATAGTCTCTTTGATAAAACAGCCCACCTGAAGCTGCTTCATGGAGGTATTAAACAAAATTTGATTCCAAGCTTCATTGGGAGATATTAGATCAGAAGAAACAGGTTTTAACGAGTGTCTTAAAGGGGAAAGGAGAGGTAGAGAGCCAGGAAGTTATAGTGAGGACACTCTAGAGCTACAGACCTGGGCAGTCAAAGGCATAGCTACCAATGTCGCATAGCCACATCGAATGCCATACTGCCAGTTGTAAATATACAGAGTCTTAACTGAGCCATAGGCGTGAGAGCTCTGGCAGCTGGTTCTACCCACTTTTGAATTACATTTGTCTTATAATAGACAGGCAACGCTTAGGCTGGTGCTAGAGAAGAGATTGCACCAGCTTTTCACTGCTGGCCATTGGATTCCCATTCATGTCAGAGAAATATCACTCCCACCATTTTATTCAGCATGGCCAAATCATTGGGAGGGGTTTAATGGCACAGGCTCACATCAGACTAAAACTGCCCCAAATCACTTTGTGCAAACTGTTTACTTCTATTATAGAGAAGAGATTTTTATTTCTATTCATTTGGAGTGTATTCAAATCCAGATATCAGAAAGTTTAAGACCATACGCAAATTGTCATTTATTCCACTGAATTCAAATACAAAAACAATTTCATTTCAAAAAAGAACTGCTACCAAAGTCTGATTCAAGTTAAGAGATGGTCAGAGCAAAATCAAATAATATTTAATCAAATTCACAGATTCACGGGATCTGTCTAGCTCACAATGCACAACACAGGCTGACAAATTCCACACAGTCAAATGCAATTTAAATATTAATGTTGGCCAGTAATTCCATTTAACTGTAAGTACTGTGATGACACAGCAGAGGACCCTAACTATTATCTATTCTTCTACATCTTATTAATTGCTAGTCTCTGTAATTATCTGTTACTGTAATGAGACCCCTTATAACTAACTGGTACCTTGCCCATGGTGCTTTGGGGGCACTGCCTTATACCGTACAGATAGAAACTAGAAACTAATCCTAGGGTTAGCTTTGAGCTGATTGGGAAAGTCTGACACCTTCATCATCCCTGCTTTAGGAAAGGAAGCCCTCTGAGTATTAATGCTATTTCTGATCATGATGCTATGATACAGAGCTACACAAGATAGTAACAGGGTCAGACCAGTTAGACAAAGAAAAGGCTTTTCCCATTGGCAGCAGGTACCTGAAACTAAGGGACACAGATTTAAGGTTTTGAGATGCAGGAAGTTGAGTCCTGTGAGGAAGATTCTATTTACATAGCGAATTGTAATTCTTAAAATGGTGTGGTCATGTCCACTTGAACCATCTGCAATGCTTCCACAGCCAACAATCCTTATTATTGGCATTGGTCTCAGCTATTGATACTGTGTGAGGAAGGATGGCCACATAAAGTCATCGGGAGAAGCTAGGCTTATTCTTAATAAAGAGAATAGGTTTAGTAAAGGTTACTTTACAGCTACTTATGTTAGATCTGAAATACATGATAGTTTTCTGTGAGATATCAGATTCAATTTAAGACTCAGTGCACATCACTATTACTAAACTATTTTTATTCACACGACGCATCTAGGATAAATCCAGTTAGCTTCCCCAAGATTAACCTTTCATATCCTGATAGGTGGATCATACCTTTTGTTGGCTGTTAACCCTTTCAGGTACTAAATATATAATACAACAGTAATGACCAGGGGTTTGCAACCATGATGATAGTGGAACCATTGATTTCAGAAGACAAGTGGATGAATACTTGCAGGAAATCTGAAAATGTGAGGCAGCTGAGAATAGTTGATATCAGTGATATAAAAGTCCCCAGTATGAGTCAGGGGGGCTCTTGTGAAAGGAGGGAACAAAAGTGGAGAGAGGGGAGAAGGTTAAAATCAAACTCCATTAAACTGAAAATCCACAAATCTACTGTTTTCAACAGAACCTGACACAAAGATAGGTAGGAAAATGAGTTGTGAAGAGGACAAAGGAGCTTCCAAAGAGATATAGATAAGTTAAACGAATGGGAAAAGACCTGGCAAATGTGGGAAATTGTCCATTTTGTCAGAAAGAGTAAAAACAAAGAAACTTGTTAGCTAAATGGTGTGAGGTTTCAGAGCTCTGAGGTACAGAGGGATCTGGGTGTCCTGGTGCATGAATCATAGAGGGTTAGTCTGTACGTACACACATAATCGTGAAAGCTCATAAAACGTTATGTTTTATTGTGTGGGGAATTGAATGCAAAAATAGGGAGTTTACGCTTCAGTTTTACAGGGCAGTGGTGAGGCTGCATCTGGAGTATTGTGCATGTTGGTGCAAACCAGAAGGTGGCTGAGAGTCATCACAGTGGAATTCTTGGAGACATCGCCACAGTTATCACGACTATACAGCAGGTCAGAGAGAACCGAAAAGAAAACAGTTTGTGAGGAGGATGACTGGCAGGGTTAAGGTGTACAAGGGAGCAGCCATTAAGAGAGTTGGCCAGTGTTAGCGTGGAAGTGCTGAGGAGTTCACTTGAGAGATTTCAGCGTGAGGAGGCTGAGCAGGAGTACGGGTAAGGGCTCTTTAACTCTACTTTCTTCTACTAGTGTCTAGACTGAAGGCAGTAAGGATGGCAGCTAGGAATGTGTCATGCTCCTCTTGCAGGATGTGGGAGATCAGGGGGACTTCCAGTTTCCCTGGTGGCTACACCTGAGAGAAGTGCACCCGGCTGCATCTCCCGACAGACCGCGTTAGGGAATGGGAGCTGGAGCTGGATGCAGTCAGCATCATACAGGATGCAGAGAACATCATTGATAAGAGCTATTTTGAAGTGGTCACTCCTAAGGTGCAGGCTGCAGGTAGCTGGGTGACCACCAGAAGAGGTAAGGCGGGGAAGGCAGATAGTGCAGGGTTCCCTTGTGGCCATTCCCCTCAATAACAGGTATACCACTTGGGATACTGTTGGGGGGGAACGACCTTTCAGGGGCTAGCAGCAGCAGTCAGATCAGTGGCACTGTGACTGGCTCTGAGGCTCAGAGGGAAAGGGTGTAGTCAGACAGAGTGATACTGATAGGAGGCTCAGTTGTGAGGGGGACAGACAGGAGATTCTGTGGATGCTGAAGAGACAGCAGGGTGGTGTGTTGTCTCCCGGGTGCCAGGATCAAGGATGTCTCTGAGCAGTTTCAGAAATTCTGAAGGGGGAGGGTGAACAGCCAGAGCTCATTGTGCACATCGGTACAAATGACAGAGGGAGACAAAGGGATGGTGTCCTGCGAAACGAGTGTAAGGAGTTAGGTAAGAAGTTAAAAAGCAGGACCTCAAGGGTAGTGATCTCCAGATTACACGCCAGTGAGGATAGAAATAGAAAGATAGACCAGATGAATGCGCAGCTGAGGGGCTGGTGTAGTGGGCAGAGTTTTCAGTTCTTGGATCATTAGGATCTCTCCTGGGGTAGAGGTGACCTGTACAAGAGGGACGGGTTGCATTTGAACTGGAGGGGCGTCCAATATCCTCGTGGGGAGATTTGCTAGTCTTACCCTAGCATATTTACCCTTCTATAAATATATAAAACGAAAAAGAGTGGCTAAAGTAAACGTTGGCCCTTTAGAGGATGAGAAGGGGAATTTAGTTATGGGATATGATGAAACGGCCGAGGCATTGAACAGGTATTTTGTATCGGTCTTCACAGTGGAGGACACGAATAACATGCCAGTAATAGACAAAGAGACAAAGGTAGATGAGGACCTGGAAACAATCATTATTACGGAAGAGGTAGTGTTGGGCAAGCTAATGGAGATAAGGATTGATAAGTCTCCTGGCCCTGGTGGAATGCATCCCAGGGTACTAAAAGAGATGGCGGGAGAAATAGCAGGTGCACTGGCGGTAATTTTCCAAAATTCGCTGGACTCTGGGGCAGTCCCAGCAGATTGAAAAACAGCAAATGTGACGCCACTGTTTAAAAAGGGAAGTAGACAAAAGATGGGGAATTATAGACCGGTTAGCTTAACCTCTGTAGTGGGGAAGATGCTTGAGTCTATTATCAAGGAAGAAATAGCAAGGCATCTTGATAGAAATTGTCCCGTTGGGCAGATGCAGCATGGGTTCATGAAGGGCAGGTCATGCTTGACAAATCTTTTGGAATTCTATGAAGACATTACGAGCGAGGTGGACAATGGGGACCCAGTGGATGTGGTGTACCTAGATTTCCAAAAGGCCTTTGACAAGGTGCCGCACAGGAGGCTACTGCATAAGATAAGGATGCATGGCATTAAGGGTAAAGTATTAGCATGGATAGAGGATTGGTTGACTAACAGGAAGCAAAGAGTGGGGATAAATGAGTGCTATTCTAGCTGGCAGTCAGTGACTAGTGGTGTGCCTCCGGGATTGGTGTTGGGGCCTCAATTATTTACAATTTATATAGATGATTTGGAGTTGGGGACCACGTGTAGGGTGTCAAAGTTTGCAGATGACACTAAGATGAGTGGCAGAGCAAAGTGTGCAGAGAACTGTGAAACTTTGCAGAGGAACATAAATACATTGAGTGAGTGGGCAAAGGTCTGGCAGATGGAATACAATGTAAATAAATGTGAAGTCATACATTTTGGTAGGAGTAATGGTAAAAAGGATTATTACTTGAATGGTAAAAAGTTGCAGCATGCTGCTATGCAGAGGGACCTGGATGTCCTTGTGCATGAATCACAGAAGGTAGGTCTGCAGGTACAACAAGTAATTAGGAAGGCAAATGGAATTTTGTCCTTCATTGCTATAGGGATTGAGATTAAAAGCAGAGAGGTTATGTTGCAGCTGTACAAGGTGCTGGTGAGGCCACACCTACAGTACTGTGTGCAGTTTTGGTCTCCTTACTTGAGAAGGGATGTACTGGCACCGGAGGGGGTGCAAAGGAGATTCACTAGGTTGATTCCGGAGTTGAAGGGGTTGACTTATGAGGAGAAACTGAGTAGATTGGGATTATATTCATTGGAATTCAGAAGATTGAGGGGGGATCTTATAGAAACATATAAAATTATGAAGGGAATAGATAAGATAGTAGAGAGGATGTTTCCACTGGCAGGTGAAGCTGGGACAAGAGGGCATAGCCTCAAGATTAGAGGGAGCAGATTTAGGACTGAATTGAGAAGGAACTTCTTCACCCAGAGGGTTGTTAATCTATGGAATTCCTTGCCCGGTGAAGTAGTTGACACTACTTCAGTAAACGTTTTTAAAGATAAGGTAGATTTTTTTTTGAACAATAAAGGAATTAAGGGATACGGTGAGAATGCGGGTAAGTGGATCTGAGTCCACGAAAAGATCA